AACACTGAGCCGGCCCCATAATTAACTAACTGACTATGACCCCGTACTCCCAGCCCAGTAAATTTATATAGTGTATTTAACTATAAAGATTAATTTGCATAACGATAAATGCAGTAAAGTGCCGAGTACACTATAATAAGTTATTACTTGTGTTAAAGCGGAACTTAATTATTATTATTTTTTTTTTATTTTAAACCTGATAAATTTACTACTACTTACCAGAAGAACTTCTGCCTGAACCAAGTATGAACTAAAAACAAGACGAAATCGAAGTTGCTCTTGGGAGGTCGAAAAACCACAAAAACCCCCTCACAGCAGGCTACTGCCGGAGCGGGAAAAAAGTGGAAAATGTCCTCCCGGCCCCAACTGGCGACCGAGCAAAGCTCAGGAGCAACTGCTCCCTGCTTTGGCTTCCTGTTAGGTTTAGAGTTGACTTCAAAGTTCTCCTACTGGCATATACCCGCAACCTAATGCATCTCGGGCTACCCCATTACCAAGTTCCGAGGTGGTCATTGGTATCAGTGGGGGGGGGGGGGCAAGGGGAGAGCCTGCCAATTATTCCGGAAAAGGAGAAGAGGGAACATCACTCATAGTGGCTGTTTCTGTTGTCCCCATTCCTGTTCATCTCTGTGATCTCACACAATAGGTTCCTCAGTATCCCCCTGTCCCTGTCCCAAAGTCTCCTCGTTGCCCTCCTGTCCTGTAATCTCCTTGACATCCTCCAGCTCTGCCTGCCCCTCGGCATCCTCCGACCCTGCTTGCACTTCAACACCCTCTCGACCCATCAGCTCCTTCATTGCCCTCTCCAAACCTTGAATACAACATTTATGTGACAAGTCGACTTCTCTAAAAAAGGCAGGACATCTGCAAGCATGAAAGATCGCAAGGCACCAGTACCCTCAATGTACTGACGTGTCAAAAAACCTCAGATAGGGAAATTAAGTTTCTGGCGACATGACACTGTCTGGGTGAATGCAACAGGTTTGTCGGTTTAATTGATGCATCTTGTTTGCGTTTGAGCACAAGACAATCAGCAATAACGTAATGAACTTTATGACAGAAAAAGCATTCTTATTCACTAATAGTGTAGCACTATTTATTCATATCAATGGGAAAAATCCTAATCCCAATTATGACAACCATGACCCTTACCCAGCCCTAATCGTGTCCATAAGTAACCATGAAAGACTTCGGGCTGTTCTTTTTATATATTTTTTTTTTATTGCATTCGTAGATTTATATACATTTTTATAGTGTTTTCCTTTGTGGGCAATGGAGAAATGTCACCATAAGATTACATTGGAGGAATATTTGGTTCTCACAATGTAGTATATGCACACACACACACACACACTGCAATACACAGACAAAGATGCCTTGCATTAAGATATAAGATGAGATATATTTTTCTTTTTTCCCACCCATAATATCTTTTATGTTAAAGTGTTGTCAGTCTGGCTTTGGAAAAAACTGTTATGCCATTGTCTTTGTGAGAATTTGCACATTAGCAATATGTTAAGATGATTTGTCTTTTACAAGTTTAAGCAGCTATCCACAATATACACTCACCTAAAGGATTATTAGGAACACCTGTTCAATTTCTCATTAACCCTTTCAGGCTCAAATTAAGTTTTAGTAACAGGAAAAATCTGATATTTGGGGAAAATTATCATATGGGGTAGTACAATAGAATCCTGACTTTTTTTTTTTTTGAGAGACCTTCACATGCAAGGCGTTCTGGGATGTTGCGGATTTGTAACATTGGCCCAGTGTGGTAATTAGACACTGACGACTGAATATGACATGAACAATAACTTTATTTGTATACAATGTAACAAAGTGCTTTTCAGTGGCAGAACAACAACAAAAACAATATGGGATCCAAATCCAATATCTCAAATCCTCATTGAGTAGGGCATGTTTCCAAGTCACTTTGTCATGTGGTACTCCAAGAAACAGTTTTTGTCTTTTGTAAAGCACAGAAGTACTTTGCACTTCAGGCAGGCCATTTGCGTGTAGCCATTCTTGCACAGTCTGCATCGTCCACGTTTCTCAGCATGGATGGGGAAATGATCGCATCGGTCTAATCTGACATCAACCGATGGTGCAGAGATCCTCTGAAGTGGAGGTGGAGGTGGGGCAGCTTGATGGGATGTTGGATCATCTTCCAATGACGGTCGTCCTCTTTTCCTACTGTTCAAGTCAGCCTGTTTGCCAACCTTGATGAGGGCATCTGCAACTTGAACACGGAAGTCAAGAAGTGGCATATACTTCTTCTCCTGCTTCTGGTTGAGATGATGGCGATAGAGGAGCCAACAATTGACCAGTGATAGGTCAATCAAGTAGTACAAGATGCGCAGATACCAACGACGTGGGTGGATGTCAATGCGATAGAGAGCTGCAAACATGTCTGCTAAGTCTACTCCTCCCATGTTGTGGTTGTACACCTTGACAATGTGGGGTCTGTCCACTTCCACATATTGCTTCTTCTCTTTCGACCACCTTCTGCATCTCTCAACAGGTTCAGGGCCAATGAAGGATGATGCCAGCAACACTGCCTTGTTATCATACCACTTCACGATGGACCGCTTGTCTTTTCGTATTTCACTTCATACGCACCACGCCCGGCCTTTGAGAGTTCCTTGTCACTCTTGAGGGTACATCCACGGAGACGGTTACGATTGATGGTAGCAACTGTTAGAATTCCCATTTTCTTCAGTTCCACAATGAGTTCAGGGGAAGTGAACCAGTTGTCGAAGAAGCACTTGTAGTTTAGTCCTTTTGGAACTTCTGATATGAGACGAAGCACAACTTCACCAGCAACACCAAGTCCACGCTCATTGGTCACGGTCCCTTTTCCAGTGTATACTTCAAAGTCATAGACTAGTCCAGTGACACCTGCACGAGTAAAGACCTTGATTCCCCATTTTTGCGGCTTGTTCTTGATATGCTGTTTCATTCCAAGCTTTCCTTTGAAGGGGATCATCTGCTCATCAATGGAGTGGTTTTCTTCCGGTTCAACCTTCAAACAGTTGGCACGGACTTTCTCAAGAACTGGACGCACCTTGAATAATGGATCGTATCCAGGCTCACCCTTTTGCTTCACATTGGTATTGTCGTTCATGTGGATGTATGTACGCAGATCAAATCGCTTACGTCCCATGACTTTCGCAATTGGGTCGTAGCGGGTTGCTGTCTGCCAGTACATGCGGTACGATGGCATACGTACTACGGTCATCAAGATGTGTAAACCAATGAATTGCTCTATTTCAGAAGGGGTTGTTTTCAGTTCTGGGGCATTCTTCATAACTGCATACAAGTTAGATTGGTGAGAAATATGTTCAAACACAGATTTGTCCATGAACTGATCAAAATACCACTTTGGACTTGGTATTTCGTCTGGGGGAGGTGAGAATGCAGGTCCTCGGAATGAAGAGTCTATGTCAGCTGCTGGGGGTTTCCTCTGCCTCCAAGAAAACTCTTTGTTGACTGGAGCTGGGCCTGGCTGAGGTTCATTGTCATCTGGGACCTCAGTGTCACTGTCTGCATGTATGTTATGAATTTCAAAATCAAGGTGCTTGAGATTAGCTTTTGGTATTGCTGCCAGTGGCTCATCATCATCAAAGCTGGAGTCAGACTCGTATGCTTCAGGAGAGTCCTCAAAATCTGGATCAGCAATTTCATCGTCTGAAATGGATTCTGTGTCAGATAAAGCACCATCAGGAAGGCAAATGTACTCAATGGCTTCCCTGGCTGTGTAAAACTTCCTTCTGCCTGCCATAACACACTGCAAATCCTGCACAGAGAGTATTCTGTAAGGTAGTTTGCCAAAAAATGCTTTGACACAATGATCTGTACTAATAAAAGTGCCATGGAATTTAGGCTAAATCAGTTTTCCTCACTGCACAGTCAAATGAACATGGTATTGTATTGATCAAATCTGCCTCTGATTGTTTGTAACTTCACTCCAAATTATTACATTTTCCATATGATATACCCTCAGTTACACCTCAAAGTAATAAGTAAACACTGGTGATAGGAAAATAACCCTAGTATAAACTGTTACTCAAAATATAGGCAAAATAGTAGATAAAGCATGTGGTATCCAGTGGTACCTATCTGGCCACAAGTTGCAAATCTGCAACGTTGAAATAGTGCTACACCAGGGGAAAAATCCAGAAGAGATAAAATCTACCAATTGGCATTTACTGTATCTATATACACTTATGATTCTCCTTATGCAGTTTTAGTTTCAAATTAATGGAGGTTGATAGTGATACTTACACGAAATTGATGCCAAGAAAATCAGTTTCAGTGAACCCATGGAAGCAGAAATGTTGGAAGTGAGACTACACTGCCATCTGGTGAGCAGGTGGGAAACTGTTTTTTGCTAAAGGACAACCAAGTCCTGCAGTGGTACTTCTGAGTAAAAAAAACTCAGAATAAGGTAGTTAGTTTTTAACTGTTGCAAATCAGCAACGCCTGCCTTGAGAGGGTTGCAATTATCTAATCAACCAATCACATGGCAGTTGCTTCAATGCATTTAGGGTTGTGGTCCTGGTCAAGACAATCTCCTGAACTCCAAACTGAATGTCAGAATGGGAAAGAAAGGTGATTTAAGCAATTTTGAGCGTGGCATGGTTGTTGGTGCCAGACGGGCCGGTCTGAGTATTTCACAATCTGCTCAGTTACTGATTTATTTTTACTGATTTATTTTTATTTTCACGCACAGCCATTTCTAGGGTTTACAAAGAATGGTGTGCAAAGGGAAAAACATCCAGTATGCGGCAGTCCTGTGGGCGAAAATGCCTTGTTGATGCTAGAGGTCAGAGGAGAATGGGCCGACTGATTCAAGCTGATAGAAGAGCAACTTTGACTGAAATAACCACTCGTTACAACCGAGGTATGCAGCAAAGCATTTGTGAAGCCACAACACGCACAACCTTGAGGCGGATGGGCTACAACAGCAGAAGACCCCACCGGGTACCACTCATCTCCCCTACAAATAGGAAAAAGAGGCTACAATTTGCACGAGCTCACCAAAATTGGACAGTTGAAGACTGGAAAAATGTTGCCTGGTCTGATGAGTCTTGATTTCTGTTGACACATTCAAATGGTAGAGTCAGAATTTGGCGTAAACAGAATGAGAACATGGATCCATCATGCCTTGTTACCACTGTGCAGGCTGGTGGTGGTGGTGTAATGGTGTGGGGGATGTTTTCTTGGCATACTTTAGACCCCTTAGTGCCAATTGGGCATCGTTTAAATGCCACGGCCTACCTGAGCATTGTTTCTGACCATGTCCATCCCTTTATGACCACCATGTACCCATCCTCTGATGGCTACTTCCAGCAGGATAATGCACCATGTCACAAAGCTTGAATCATTTCAAATTGGTTTCTTGAACATGACAATGAGTTCACTGTACTAAAATGGCCCCCACAGTCAAAAGATCTCAACCCAATAGAGCATCTTTGGGATGTGGTCGAACGGGAGCTTCGTGCCCTGGATGTGCATCCCACAAATCTCCATCAACTGCAAGATGCTATCCTATCACTATGGGCCAACATTTCTAAAGAATGCTTTCAGTACCTTGTTGAATCAATGCCACGTAGAATTAAGGCAGTTCTGAAGGCGAAAGGGGGTCAAACATCGTATTAGTATGGTGTTCCTAATAATCCTTTAGGTGAGTGTATATGGCTTTTTCTTAAACTCAAACACCTACAGTGACAACAGACTTGACCAATGTTTTTACCATTTTCTATGTAGTAAAATATGAAACGTTCCAAATACCAGTCAATTTTTCCCCAAAACCTCCAGATATTCTGCTAGAAAGCTAATATGAAGCAGAATTTCAGATTTGGAGCACTTTTGTCTGTGGCTTGCTGACAGACTCCTACCCAAAAATACTGAATGCTGTAATTAAACCAAGAGGTGCTTCAACAAAGTATTAGTGTATTAGTGTTAGGTGTGTAGGAGTATTAGTATTAGGGTGTGCACACTTACGGAACCAGCATATTGTACTTTTTTTTGTACTTTTTTATTTTTTATATTTTTAACTCCAATAGATTTGTTTGTTTTTCAGCTGAATTGTACAGGTCACATTAAGGTGAAAAAAGTTTTGAAATGATTTATTGTGATCACAAAAACGTAGCACTTTAACAGGGGTGTGTACATTTTGTACTGTATATCCACTGTATGCTTATCATGCATAAAGCATATAAAAATGTGCAGACATTGGCTCAAAAATGACCAAATAAATTAAGAAGTAAATAAATGAGTTTCTTTTTAAATCTGATTCCAAGTATTATATAATTATTACAGCCTTCATTACCATTATATCATTATCATAATCACAACTGTTGAACCAAGAGACGATATACAGAACTGTGCAAATATCTTATGCAGTCATAGAAAGCATTTAAAGCTATTTGTCTGGGCCGGAAGTGCATCTACACTAAAAAAAAACAAATTAACATTAGAACGTAGGGATGTAACAATACACTCAACTCACAATTCGATATGATTCATGATTCTGAGTTCACGATACGATTTTCTTAGCAGAATGAGCTGCACACCAATTTATTCAAAAATATTCCTTTATCTTTCTAAACTGTGCAAAACATGTCCTCTTTTTAACAGTGCAACTGAAGTTGAATAAAACACTGTTTTAAAAAAATCCCAAATCAAAATAAGTAAATAAAATCTTCAAATAAACTAAGGCTTGCATGTGCCGCTTTTTTGCATGGTTTGCCCTTTTAATAATCTTCGCTCAGCGAAGATTGGTGGACATGCTGAAGCATGTTCATTGTGCTATTTGTGCATGTTATCAGTATTTTCCAATGTTTGCACGCAGTTCTTGTCTTGTCTGTGCTTTTCTCCCTGTTTGTGATTACCGGAAAGCTAAAATGCTGTCACACCGACGATATAAGATCGAGTGGTGCGTCCATCCATCCATTTTCTGAAACTGCTTAGTCCCAAATGGGGTCGCGCGGGGGACCGGAGCCTTTTCACAGGAACAATGGGCGCAGTCGGGAACCAACCCTGAGCAGTCGCCTACACACCACAAGGCACACACACTCACACAACTACAGGGCCAATTTAGACTCACCAATCAACCTATCCTGCATGTTTTTGGACCGGAAACTGGCGCCCCGGCGAAAATGGGGAGAGCGTGCAAACTCCACACAGAAAGTACCCAGTACCGAAAGCAGGACCTTCTTGCTGTGAGGCAGCAGTGCTGACCACTGCGCCGCCCGGCTGTGTGTCCTCAATTTCAAATTCGCTGGCTATCTTGCTTTCGGTTATAACCAAAAATTGACGTCCGACGTCGACGTGAATACACAGTGACATCTGACGTTGTGAAATCAAATGTAATATTACACTATTTTTTTCTGTTAAAGTACTGTGAAGTACTCCTAAAATAGCGATTCATTTTCCACATCAGCCGGTTTAAATCGTCATATGTTTACATCGATTTTTAACCGATTCGCTATTCATCGTTACACCTATTACAACATGACACAGAATAACAGATATAATAGCATAATTTTACACCAACAGTAAGATCATTTAAAAATCATTTTCTTTGACACCCTTTTTCACAGTACTGTAGCGCACATTGGATAACATTGGTTATGGCTTCATCAAGAATTTTCTGATTTAACAGCATACATAAATTATTTAAAATTAGATAGCAGTTAAAGTATGATTCAGGCAAACACTGCATTATGCCATCTGTCTCATTCTTTAAGTCTAATGTCAGAATATAAAACATGGGTGTTTATCTGTTGCATCCTGGGTCCCATCTCTGATTTCCTCTTTTGGAAAATGCATTTATTGTAAGTTAGCTGTTGTGAGTCCCGTGTCTGAAAAAAGAACCAGGGAAACATCATTTATTGGCTGGATAATAAGAAAACAAAGCTTCTGTTTTATGTAATGATAATAAAGGTGTTTATAGATTTTTTTTTCCAGATTTGCCTGAATATCACAACACTAGTATATTTTTATTTGCTTATTTTGTTTTAAACACTACAAGCCTTCTTATTAATGTAAGCCAATAATCATGTATTTTAATCGAGAAACAAACTTCCATTAATATTATTCATATAATAATATATAATAGTAATATAACTGGTACTGTACCTCACTGTGTGGCGTAGTGGAGAACCACTGATGTGTATTTCCTGGACAAAATAATATTTATATATTTATTGAGAATTCAATTGCGTTTTATTTTAAACTTTAATGAAAATTATATAATTATATTTGGTAGTAATATTTCCTTGTTTTAAAATACATAAGGACTTAAAATGCACTTCAAGGACTTACGCTGTATTCTGGTCTTCTGTACATAGATAAGGATGATTATTATTATTACACATAAGATGTTGGATATTGCTAAACCAAGAACTAAAGGACTGCTTTGGTTTTCTTGGTCAATACCTGTATGATCAAACAAACAAACAAAAAAAATAAGTTGCAGTCATGAAAAACTACCACTGTCTTTTACTCAAATCATGCAAATACATAAAATACTTTGTATAATATGCTTTCTTAGTTTTAACGACTAGGTAAAGGTTTCGCATGGTAAAAAACAGGCTAGTTTGATTTATCTTCATGTACAAAATTGTTGGTTTTTATCTATTGCAAGGAAAAATTGTCCAGAATATTGTGATATCAGACTTCACCTTATTTCCTCTGCAAACCTTTTGTGGTGCTGTGCTATTTTGGATAATTTTTAGACAGTCCTTATAAAGTCAGAACTCTTGATTATTTGAAACACATAAGCATATCTAATGTCCCATTAATATAGTGGTTCCCAAGCTGGGTGTGACTTTACCACATTGAAATGTTCAGGTACTTTTGTCAATGAATAAAAACAAGACAAATTTGAAACGATTTATAAGTAGCATCTTTATATAGCATTAATTGTAGTTGCACATAATTCAATAATTTTCATCTAATTGGATTCAAGCATGTAAATCATGCATCCGTCTTACAAACCTTCCAGTTTTGTCTGTGAAGTCTGTATACTGTTTTGCCATTATGTCTGTACCACAGCTGGCTTTAGGTAGGGAAAAAGATACCGAGATACAGTATGGATAAGTTTTACATTTGATGTGAAAGTAAAGAACAACACCACAATCAGCAAAGTGCCTTTTTGAACTGAATAGAAACAAATAGTTTTCTTTTATTGTTTTTTATTGTTCACTGCCATGGACTGAACTAGAAGAAATAAGCACAACTCGGTTGGTTTTGACTAGTCTGATAGTTGTGCATGTTTTTTTTATTCAAGTTCTATGCAGTGGTGTTTTTTTCTTATAATATGAATGAAGATGCATGATATATAAGTCGCTTGTTTGAGACCAAATATTGTTGTCCGCAAAATAGTGGCCTGGCATAAAATTTTTGGGAACCACTGCTTGAATGCGAGACAGCAGTTTGGAAAATTTAAATATATACATTAATACATTCACCCATCTGATACAATACAGTGGTGCAGGGACAACTATCCATAGCTCAACTAAAATTTATGCATTTACTGCATCACATAAAATATTGGCTGATGTACCACATAATGAAAATACCTTTATGTACATTTTAATAATAGTTAGTGGTAAAGTTACCTAACCAAAAATCAACCATCACACAGTACCAATAAATTGACAAAATTATGTTTTTATTATGAAATTCCATGAAATACTTAAAGTCGAACATCTAAAGGAATATATGTGCTACTATTGGAATAAAATAAATCACCTGTTATTTCCAGCTTGGTCCCATTCCCAAAGAGGATTTCCCCACACATGGCCACAGCACAGTAGTAAGTCCCAGCATCTGAAAGGTTGAGGTTCCTCTTGGGGAGGCTGTAGATACAGCTCCGTGTAGGAGATCCAGCCTCAGGGCTCTTCTCACACTTATCACTCCTGTTTCCATTGGTGTAAATGACTCCTGGAAGGGATTCTCCTGATCCATGTTTGAACCAGTAAACACTGTGTTCTCCTGCACAGCTCTCAGTCACTATTGTACACTGAAGGGTCACAGAGTCTCCTGGCTGCACTGAGTCAGATACAAGCTGCAGACTGAAATATCTGTTTGTAGTTGGTAGACCTGAAAGAAGAAATTAACACTACTATAACCTGACAATCTACAACCAAAATACTTGACTGACTAATGTGATAATTACTTACCAAATTATATGATTATTTATTTATTTATTAAATATAACTCTTGCTAAAACTTTGATAAAAATCTACAGACAGGCTATATAAGTGTAATAGATGAAAAATAATAATTTACTGCCAAATGTATTCTGTCAACCAATGGAAATATTCAACCTGGTAACAAATGTAATTTGATTGAATTAGGTCTTCATATACATGACATTAAAGCTATGACTGTTTGACATTTATGGATCAGTACCTTCATACTTCAAGAAAATTTTGTTCTCGAAAATGATCTGCTCGTAACTTCTTGTGCAGCAGTAATAGAAGCCACCATCCGCGAGCTTTGCATTTGAAATGGTCAGCATCATGCTGGTTGAGTTTTTTTGAATTGCGAAGCGCTGATCCCCTTGGAACTCCCCATACAGCAATGGATCTATGCTATGACTGTAGATAGACATTATACTTTGAGGTGACTCTCCTACTGCCTGTTTGAACCAGTAGAAGTAGCTGCTATGTCCAGAAGAAAAGGTACAGTGGAGGGTGATGGTGTCTCCAAGGTGGAAGGTCTTCATGTTTTCAATCTGGGTGAGCAGGACAAGATTCACCGCTGACAAAATGACAAAAAATTATTTGAGCTCAACAATATATTAATCATTGAAATGCTAAAGGAAAGCAAGCAGTATCTGCACACATAAAATGAAATATGTTTACTATATTACAATAAATTATTTCTGATACAAAATATACAAATGAGGACATCGAATAAAAGGTTTATACCTGTTATAAACATCAGCAGCAGCGCTGAGCAGAGCCTGACCATCCCGATCAAACCTGGTTTAAACTGATATTGATCGTCTCCAGCCAAAAAAGACTGGGGGGGTCAGTACTGTATGTGACTGATAACTGAAGCCATTTCCCACACACTGTGGAGAGCCTGATTGGCTGGTATATGATCACTGCAGAGCGGTAACAGGTTAGATGCCTCGGTATTCATGTATATCAAAATGTGACTATTTAATGGACTCAAGTGTGGAGCTGATTCCTTTAAACTTGATACGATTCCAGAATTTCTCCCAGGGTTTAATAAAGTCAATGTAATTGGTATGTTTTAGTTAAACAGATATTTAGGTAAATTGTATATATAGTTAAAAACATGTGAGCATTGGATATTTATCTATATCAGATAAATAAATGGATTTCACATCTGATATAACAACACTTTCACAGCAAAATAGAATCTGCTGCATGTTTGTTTGTGGGATGCAAATGACTAGAGATAGATGCTGCTGATTAAGACAACTGAACTTTTTAGACAACACTAGCTCCATGATTACTTTCTTAGTTCCTTTCACCCTCAAGCTGTGCTGAACATTAAGGAAGCGAGGGAGGGGGGTGGTCACTGTCACAAGAGCCTGAATCAGGTCACACTTCTTGTTTGGTTTGATTTCTACCAGATAGACCATTTGTGTGCATACTGGATTTTCTTTGAAAGAAAATCAAATGGGACTGCTGGGAATTTAAATGAAAGCCAGTCTTTTTCCCATTCAACCCCCCAAAAGGCAATGCTTCAAATAAACCATTCAAAATTTCAAATCAACCACAATGATATTCTTATAAAAATTTTATATTATGTTGATATCTTCCATAAACACATTTTTTCTTTGATAAAAATCTTAAATATCAGAAAGATTGACCTACACAAAGAACACAGATTTGTGATATTAATTGACTTATTGATTTGTTTCTTTGTTTCCTTTAATCTTTGTTAATTCCAATACTTATTGGTTATGCATGAATATCTTGCATTGTTAGAAAAAATAGATGTTTTTCTGTTTATGGTGCCACTAAATGTAACATATGTCTTTTTTGGTAATTATTTCAAATTCCAAATTCCAAATCTAAATGAAAACCACAAAACACAACAAAAAGAGTAACAATATACCACATCTAGGGCCTTGAAGTAATACACTTTTAATATTCAAAAAAGGAAAACATTAAAACAAATGAAACTCAATGTTCTTGTTTTCAACTTGTGTACCATTATTATTGCATCACATAGCACATGCTACATGCACGCCCACATGCTTTCATCCGTGCCTGACGCAGTTGACCTGGCTTGGCCTGTGATCAAAGTGATGTTTTGGAAACTACATTTTGCACCTTGCTCCAATAAAAAAAAATGCAGAGGCGTGAGGCCACAGCAAAGAACAATCTCACAACAAACAGAAGCAGTGGTAACTTGGAAACCAGGCACTTGAAAACGATCTGATAGAAGCCACAGCCCTAACAAAGTCACAATTGTGCTCTACATTCTGCAACTGTCCTGTCCTGCTTTGCTTTTCATGTCAGTCTAATGGTGGCTGGGCTTCAGTCACTGAGGTGTCACTGACCACACTTGCAAACAACACTGCAGTCCAATGACAAGCAGACAGGTTCACTGGCATCTTTAAATTGCCTTTAGTGTATGATTATTATAGCAACCTTGTGTTTCGTGCAGTCTTGGATAGGCTCTGGGAGACATCTGACCAGAATAAGCTGCTTGGACAGTGGGTAGAAAAATATATTTTTCATATACACTCACCTAAAGGATTATTAGGAACACCATACTAATACGGTGTTTGACCCCCTTTCGCCTTCAGAACTGCCTTAATTCTATGTGGCATTGATTCAACAAGGTGCTGAAACATTCTTTAGAAATGTTGGCCCATATTGATAGGATAGCATCTTGCAGTTGATGGAGATTTGTGGGATGCACATCCAGGGCACGAAGCTCCCGTTCCACCACATCCCAAAGATGCTCTATTGGGTTGAGATCTGGTGACTGTGGGGGCCTTTTAGTACAGTGAACTCATTGTCATGTTCAAGAAACCAATTTGAAATGATTCGAGCTTTGTGACATGGTGCATTATCCTGCTGGAAGTAGCCATCAGAGGATGGGTACATGGTGGTCATAAAGGGATGGACATGGTCAGAAACAATGCTCAGGTAGGCCGTGGCATTTAAACGATGCCCAATTGGCACTAAGGGGCCTAAAGTGTGCCAAGAAAACATCCCCCACACCATTACACCACCACCACCAGCCTGCACAGTGGTAACAAGGCATGATGGATCCATGTTCTCATTCTGTTTACGCCAAATTCTGACTCTACCATTTGAATGTCTCAACAGAAATCAAGACTCATCAGACCTGGCAACATTTTTCCAGTCTTCAACTGTCCAATTTTGGTGAGCTCGTGCAAATTGTAGCCTCTTTTTCCTATTTGTAGTGGAGATGAGTGGTACCCGGTGGGGTCTTCTGCTGTTGTAGCACATCCGCCTCAAGGTTGTGCGTGTTGTGGCTTCACAAATGCTTTGCTGCATACCTCGGTTGTAACGAGTGGTTATTTCAGTCAAAGTTGCTCTTCTATCAGCTTGAATCAGTCGGCCCATTCTCCTCTGACCTCTAGCATCAACAAGGCATTTTCGCCCACAGGACTGCTGCATACTGGATGTTTTTCCCTTTGCACACCATTCTTTGTAAACCCTAGAAATGGTTGTGCGTGAAAATCCCAGTAACTGAGCAGATTGTGAAATACTCAGACAGGCCCGTCTGGCACCAACAACCATGCCATGCTCAAAATTGCTTAAATCACCTTTCTTTCCCATTCTGACATTCAGTTTGGAGTTCAGGAGATTGTCTTGACCAGGACCACACCCCTAAATGCATTGAAGCAACTGCCATGTGATTGGTTGATTAGATAATTGCATTAATGAGAAATTGAACAGGTGTTCCTAATAATCCTTTAGGTGAGTGTATGTATTTAGAGATAGGTGTGGCATGGTGGTACAGTAGTTAGCACTATTGCCTCACACCTTTGGGACCTGGGTTCAAGACTCTGGCAGGGATCTGTGTGTGGAGTTTGCATGTTCTTCCCATGTCATTCTGGGGTTTCATCCATGTAGTTTCCTCCCACAGTCCAAAAATATGTTAAGGCTAATTGGAGTTACCTAATAGCCCACAGGGGTGTGAGTATGCCCTGTGATGGGTTGTTCCCTGCCTTGCACCCATAGGCTCCAGACGCCCCATGACCTTGGATAGGACAAGCAGTTGAAAATGGATGGTATTTAAGGCTATAGCATGGAGTCAGTGTTGGTTTTGCTTTGATATGTTTAATTATATCAATAGGAAGTGTAATAAAAATACTTACATATGGTCAATATAAGCTGGCAATTGTTACAGGAAAATCAGTATGTTATTGTATGATTTAAGATTATTATATACAATTTGACTTTTTTGTGACCAAATTTTTATTAGAGATTTTTTAACGAACAGACGGAACAGAGCAGAACACACTCCACCCCCCACCACCCCCCCCAATACACCCTGAGACAGCACCTCAAAGGAAAAGAAACAAAACACCAACAATGGTCACCGGCACACCCAGCCCCGGAGAGTGCAGCAAAAACCTAAGGAGAAAATAAATAACACACTTATATCAGTGAAAATGTCAAAATTAGGAAAGTAAAAATCAAAACAAAAACAAAAACAAGGAATATGGCCTCAGGACCTGACCTGCAGCCAGTCCTTGACCAGCTGCACATCATGGAGCCAGCTCTGCATCGTAGAACCAGAGGATTTGTTAATCCGGGTTGCAGAGAGTTCCAGCAGAAGCAGATCAAGAAAGGTGGACTTCCAGACAGTGGGAATGGCACGATCAGGAGACTTCCAACGAGAGGCTAATAACAACTTGGCTGCTAAGGAGGCAGACATCAGGAGCCTCTGTTGGAAGCAAGAGAGAGAGAAGTCCAGGAGAAGAAGGACCACAGGAGACAGGGGGATGGGAAAGGAAAGAACTGAAGAGAGAGATCTGGCCACATGTTGTGGTGGTGGTTCAGCAGACATTAACACACACACGCAGTTAGGAACAGAGGATCCATTTTTTCTTTACTGAACTTCTTCTCCCCGTACCAGCATACCATAATCACTAGCGCTCTCTAGTACTTCTAGTCAATGCATATACAACAGTATGTGGACACATCTTCCCCTTTTGAACAAGAATTGCCTTTCGTAACTTATGTAACCTAACTTCATCATTCTGATGTATGTCACCTAATAACACCTTTTTAACATTTCACATCACTCAGTAACATTTACTTCCCCATGACAAAGTCATGGGTCCTCATCCTGGCAGGTCTGGACCTACTATCAGAGTCAGATGCTGGATCAGTTTCTGTTTTACGACAGTCCATTGTTGTATCAGAATCAGCACCTGTGTTCAACTCCGACAGCGGCGATAGGTGTGAGGCGTTCCAGGTCCTTCCATCATCCAGCAAGTAAGTGTTTGGTCCTTTGTTTGTCACGACAGTCCTTGGTTTAGAAAACTTCAGTTCTCCTTTCTTTACTCTCCATGGCTTCCTAACCCGTACCTTGTTACCAGGCGAAAGTTGGACGATTTGGCGTGTCTGCGAGCATCAGTGTATTCTTTCATTTTCAGTTGTTTATCCTTCACTCTTTCACGCATGGCATATCTCTCTGTTTGGGGAACAGACATATCCATCACCTGTAACTTCGTTCTCATTCATCGTCCATGGAGCAGTTCTGAAGTTGAAACTCCAGTTGTAGAATGAGGGGTTGCTCTGTAGTCCATCAGGTAAGTTCTCAGGAACGACTTCCAGGATTCACCTTGAATCAATGCAGTCTGTAAGCAGTCTTTAACGCATCTATTGAACCTCTCAACTTCCCCATTAGCTCTTGGGTAATACACTGAGGATCTCAGGTGTTGGATTCCCTTGTTTTCTAGAAAGGCAGCGAACTCAGCAGAGAGAAATTGAGAGCCATTGTCCATCAATGTCTGTCTCAGGAAGTGGAAGCCT